AGCCAGGAAAGGTCAGCAGTTGGACCCGGAAGGGGCGTGGTTGACCATGACGGGGCGCAGTTGGATCCGGAAGGGGTGGCAGTTGAGCCGTGAAAGGGGGTTGAGTGGGAAGGGACACAGTTGAGCCGTGAAGGGTGGTGGTTGACCCGGAAGAGACATGGTTGGGACACGAAAGGTCAGCGGTTGACCAGGAAGGGTCAGCAGTTGGACCGGGAAGGGGCAGGGTTGACTGGGAAGGGTCGGTGGTTGGACTGGGAAGGGGCGTGGTTGAGCCAAGAAGGGGCGTGGTTAACCAGGAAGGGTGGCGGCTGAGCCAGGAAAGGTCAGCAGTTGGACCCAAAAGGGGAGTAGTTGACCAGGAAGGGTCGGCGGTTGGACCCGGAAGGGACACGGTTGAACCCAGAAGGAGTGGCGGTTGACTGGGAAGGGGCAGCAGTTGAGCCCGGAAGGGTGGTGGTTGACCGGGAAGGTGGAGGGGACACGGTTGGACCCAGAAGTGACGCAGTTAGACCCAGAAGGGATGCGGTTGACTGGGAAGGGGCATGGTTGGACCGGGAAGGGTGACAGTTGACCTGGAGGGGACACGGTTGGACCCAGAAGGGACGCAGTTAGACCCAGAAGGGCTGCGGTTGACTGGGAAGGGGCATGGTTGGACCGGGAAGGGTGACAGTTGACCTGGAGGGGACACGGTTGGACCCAGAAGGGACGCAGTTAGACCCAGAAGGGCTGCGGTTGACTGGGAAGGGGCATGGTTGGACCGGGAAGGGTGACAGTTGACCTGGAGGGGACACGGTTGGACCCAGAAGGGACGCAGTTAGACCCAGAAGGGCTGCGGTTGACTGGGAAGGGGCATGGTTGGACCGGGAAGGGTGACAGTTGACCTGGAGGGGACACGGTTGGACCCAGAAGGGACGCAGTTAGACCCAGAAGGGACGCGGTTGGACCCTGAAGGGGCGCGGTTGACCGGGAAGAGGTGTGGTTGGACTGGGAAGGGTGACAGTTGACCCAGAAGTGACGCGGTTGGACCCTGAAGGGGCGCGGTTGACCGGGAAGGGGTGTGGTTGGAC